TGGTTTTATAACAGCACAAAAAATTACTTTTTTAAAAACCAGTGTAACTGCTGTACCAGAAAAATGAAGATTCTCCTTTGATTTATCCCTGGAATAAATTTGTTATTTTGGCTCACATCACAGACTAAAAAAAGTACTATTTCCAAATACCAAAATAGCTGTAGGACCTATTACGATGAAACCACTGTTGTTACATCATCACTGTCGTTGTTGAGGAACTGCATGTTAAAAACCAGACTTGTCATCCACAACTGCAGAAGATGCCACTGGATATCTCAGAGAGAAGAAGTGATCACTGTGGGAATGCTGGTGTAGTCAACAACAGCTCAAAGAGTAAATCGAGGTGAAACTCTGGGGAGTACCATGCTGGTAATGATCTCACCTGAAGCATTAATCCAACTCTATCAGATGATCTGTGTTTTTCCTCCAAGCACACACATCTGTCTTCAGAAATATTTATTGATCTCACCTGAAGCATAAATCTCACCATATCAGTTGATCTGGATTTTCTCAAAACTGCAATAAATAGGTTTCCTTCCAAGAATCCACATCTGTTTTCAGAAATATGTTGCTGTATAAAGCGATAACACAGGAATCCTTGAAGGAAATAACCCCGTAACTGGAATTCACTTCCACTTCAAAGTACGACCTCAAACAAACAGCTCTTCAACTCAGAGCAAAGTTTCTGACTTTAGAGCAAAAACTCACTCAGCTTTTTTTTGTATTGTATTTGTTTTGTTTGCCTAGATGCTGACTAACCTCTGCTTACTGCTACTACATTCATTTTTTTAGTCTATGCACTCTATTTTGTTATTTTAACCAGTTTCTTGCAGAAACAGAATTTCACCATGCAGTAAAATCATTCTTAATATCAAAGGGAAGTTTTCAACATAGTTTTACAGTGTGAATGTGGCTAATTATCTTTAGCAAAAGCACTAACGAGGGGCAGGTCAACAATTTCAAATCCTTACGCTGTCATGGCAGAATTACTGTTTCCAGACAAAAAAATCCTGCGTGTCTAAAATCCAATGATGATAAAAGAATCATCCTCTCTGTGGACAATGAAAATCAATACAGGAGGAATGATGACTCACTGAGCACGACTACAAGAGTGACTCATAAGTTCAAGCCCTCCATGGCTTTTCGTCTGAATCCCAGAGGCAGACTGTATATTTGATAAAGCAAAGAATTGATTTGCACAAAGATCGAGTCGGAACATTTATTGTTGTAAAAGTCATATTGAATGACTTTTGAAGATATCTTAGTCACAATTGAAATCCTCAGGAAATAACCGGTGACTATATTTTGATCTTAAGTGGAGTAGCTGGATTTAAACATTCCCCAAGGGCATGTTATGTCTACCATAATATTTCTTGCTAATCATGCATATCTCATTGAAGTATTCATAAGCACACACACACAGAGTGAGTCATATATCACTCTGTCTTTCTTCTCTTTGTTGCATTACACCATGCCCGGGCAGTGAGGCTCAACCGATAGCTGTTAAGGGACATCACCACCAGGTCAAAGAGGACTGCCTTCAGTGCTCGCTTCTACAGGCTTCTAAGCAGAATCTGACACCTCAGAAATGTTAATGAAATTCTACAACATACTCTAGAACAGTGTGGAATTTTTTTATGCAATGACAAAGTCTGCGGGGTGCTATATTTTATGATGGTATCGTGCTATTAAGATATAGAGGCAATCCTTTAAGTTTTTTTTGTCAGTGCACAAGTCAGTCAGATTCAAACTGAGTCCGTGGTTTTATTGAACAACATCTACTCAATATAGAAAATAATTATCATCAATTCTTCAAGCAATGGAATGACTTTAATATTCACTTAATATGTTAATGCTTAAGACAAAATAAATGCGGTACCTCCAGTTAAACACATTATCCAGCCATGTTTTTTCATTTTCAGTAAAACGTTCCCATTGTAAGTACTTTGTCAGATCTCTGTCTTTAAATCTATTCAGAGCCAGAATGAGGTGACAGACCTCCTGAGTTACTAATGATTTCCTTTCTGCATTTATTCAAGCATCAAAGACACACCCCCTGTCTCTTCAGATCAAAGTTTAACAGTACATCATCCAAGTCCTCACCAGGTCAGCAGAGATCTGTATTTTCCAATCAAATTCGTATTCAATAACTCAAAATCATGATTTATAAAGTTTGAATATATATTTGATGGCGTTTGATGACAATCATACAAAAAGCTGCCGGTTCAGCAAGTTTTTCATCATGGGTAAGATCCTATAAAACACCTTTAAAATTCAATCCTCATACAAAAAAAAAACTTTTTGTAGAGTGAAATGTGAATATCTGATGTCTTACTCAATATTTAAGCCCTTCTGGCGTGCAGGAATGTACATTTACAACTTTTGCAAGATTTGTGCAAAAGTGGTTGGAAGTGCTCTTAATGAGCATAACACTGAAATAAACACAAAGTCCGTGCCAAACATCTTTACCACTCGATTATACAACCACAGATGTTGAGATCCTCAGCGGCAGCCAAAATAAACTGTATAGAAAGAGACGGAAAGAACATTTTGACAGAAGGTGGAAAACACTGTCCTCATTTCCTCTTTGTGTTCCACATGCAAACTTACAATGGCCTATGCAACATCTGTTTATTCTCTTTCTTTTGTAAGGAAGAACACTTGTATTTCAGCATTCACTGGCCCTTGGTCTGACATGCACCACAATCAAAGACATCATCGACAGATACATCACTCATGTCTTCATGGGTTTAAAATTGCTGTTCACAAAGCAAAGTGAGACATCTGTGAGTTATATGAATAGCTTGCAGGTGCTCATCTTCAGTGTAACTGTACAATATTTTTCAAGATTGGTACCTCTCAGTTTGTCGGACAACAAGAGGCAGAATAGCCAGTTGATATTCTAACAATAAATGTAGAAAAGTACAAACTACAATAACCGAATGACAGTTGTTCTCTTTAAAAAAAAAAAGAAAAAGCATGGCCTTATTTCGAAATCAAGATGATGAATGGGAAGCTAAGTATGACCTAAATGACCTCACCTCTCTGATGATAAACTCTATTAACTTTGAATGACTTCCAACTGACCACAGAAAAACTTCCAAAAAACTAAATCCCACATCTTTTCAATGCTTTCCCCTTTCAGACTCCAGAGCATGGTAGGCCACCAGTTAAGCCTTTTCAGGGCCGGCCTGCGCTGAATTCTGATGCTTATCTAAAGCACCACCTAAAGTTGAGCTGACGATCAAATACAGCGAATTTAAATCACTAACTGCACATATGATGAATTTGCATTCTGGAAACATTGTGATTTTTTAAGGCTAAATCTGTTGTGTAGACTAGTGTGTTACAATGTTTGCATCATTTAGCCATGAAAACCTGATGAATGTGTAATAGTGTCATATAGAGTGTAATAAAATGGTATTAGGTAGCGAAAAGATATGGAAAAACTTAACTTAATGTCACCGTAACAATTACCCATGCTTACATGGAACATGGATAACCATGGCAATGTTTTGAACCAATCACACCCGTAACATATGGTTTATATAACTAAATAATTTCCTCCCCCACACAGGATAGACTTTACCTGTGTGAACCTAAGCTACCATGCACATGTCATATGATTAATCTTTGATAAGCATGTTATTTTCTGGGCAAGACTCTAAACCTTGCTTGGTGCTGTTATAACATTTATTCTTTAAAGAATTTCTTTAACAAATGCGTGCTACATTTTGTGGCCACTTTATCTGTAATGTTCCAATTAATTCTCTTTTGCTTTTGATTATCCGAGAATAAATTATCCTTCTAAAATGGTCTGGAAATGTTTAGCAAGGGTCAGGGTTGCCTTTTTTTTTCTCCAGGCGTGCTTTTGACACATGGCAGGATGGATGTTCATACAAAATTCTTACCCTTCCATTGACATCTCATGCACGAAATTGGGAATTTCTCTGTGGTTTTTCTTTCTTCATCTAAACATCTGGGAGTTTTAACTGGCAATCAAACTTAATCAAATAAATATTAAATGAAACTTGCATCTCATCTAAATCAAAAGTCAAGTACATCCTGTGCTCTACATGGTAGTCTACAACACTATTTCCTGAATGCTGTCGTCATCTTTGCACACCTCCTTTAAGCAGGTGTTTTCTCTTTTATCCAAAGTGTTTTCACCCTCAGGACTGCAGCTGACTGGGTGTCGTGCAAAGCCCGGCTCTACATGACAAAAACGAAAAGCAGCCATGTTTGTGATACATTAACTGGTGAATCTGGCTGTTTCACACCAACTCACACCAGAGGTCTTCGACAGATGACAGCGTTCACTCCAGACTTTTCGAATAGGAGAAATGGAGGCAGCACACTGTAACCTGGGCGGGTGCCAGTGTACTCAATCTTTTCTGTATGCATACCTTATGTTTTTGTAGACATCAAGCCTTTCGCCGCAAAATGAGACGTCCATAAAAAAGTGGTGACACGTTTGTGCTCTGCAAATACATATCTGCGTGTGTTCAACGTCTGCTTTTGTGCACCAAAGAGAGGTCAGAGTGCAGGCTTTACACACCTAATGTCTTCAGGGGTGATCCATTCTTTCAAGCCTGTCAAGAAGGAGCCTCCTACGCATGAGATGGAGTGTCCACACACTCACATCACCACCGTCCACCAAACAACACACCCATTCCTCTTCCTCCCACTTCTATTTGATAACTTCCAGTGACTGCAGTCAAGTTGCCCACATTCACACTTAATGCAGCCTGACAGATGGATGTGGACAAAGTATGCACACGCTATATCAGATTAATTTAAAAACAACAAATAAGGAGGGATATAGATAAAATAAAAACAGCAGCGCAGTTGGGTTAAGCCATCCTGTCAAATTCCGACAGAGATAACAAGTGAAAAATGGAGTGCGAGTTGAAGAAAAAGCCTCTGAAGGTATAGGCAGCTGCGATCTCATGTCAATTAGCCCATGCTGCCGTCTAGTGGTCCACCGTCATTCGCATGTAAAGCATTTTTCTGAATGGAAAATGATACAAACACTGCAAAGAAACAAGTTTTTAAAAAATATTTTTTTCCGCACTGTTGCCAGTTTCCATTTTGTACTGCAAATCTGGCAAGTGCTATATTTCCACAAGTCAAGATCATAACCTACCATAACACACTTTAGATGTCAGATTCCTGCTCCAACCAAACAGCTACCAAACAGATTGATATTGTAAAAAAATGAAAGCACTGTGCCTTGAGGAGAGATGATGAGGAGAGAGTAGTTTTTTCAACTCCACCCGGTGTAAATACAATGTTACATTTGGAAGAATACCAATTTCATCCCCCTGTTTTTTTTTTAAAGTTTGCTCAATTATAAATACATGAAAAATCACTATTTTAATGGCCACTTCAACTTAATAGAGAGACATAAATTGCATGAAAACTGTTCAATTAAATAAAGTAAAACATAGCTCAATACTTGCTAGGGAAACACTTGTTAGTTAACTAGGTGCTGAATTTGCATATTTCTGAGAGCAACAGGGATTTTCGCCCACTCTTTAAGGTCCTCGAAATCCTTTTTTGACTGCTGCTTGGACACTCAAAGTTTCAGCCCACTAGAAAGATTGTCTGAAGAATTGAGGTCTGAAGGTCAGCAGGCCGACTTCATGACAGTAAAGTTCCTCTTCTTTAGCCCCTGCTTAAATCCATATTTATGTTTTGAGTCACGGTGTAAGAATCATTCATAACTCAACTTCAGCGTCCTCCTTAGCGGATGTAGATTCTACTCAAAACTAGAGACGGTTTCTTCACCATGGGGACATTTAAAACTAACAGGGGACTACATAATTCATTCTCCCACTGTATGTCTGCAGTTTTCCTTTGAGATCCAGAGTTGAAAATGAATGTGACATATACTTAGCATAAAAGAATTAGGTAATATGTTCTGAATATTGATACACAACAGCCTAGCAACAGATTTGTGTGGAGGCTCGTCCACAGCCGTTGTGTTGGAAACAGACACTTCTTAGCCTTTGAGATTGCAGGGCTTCCTCTATAATTTTCTGGAAACATTGAAAAAGTTAATCTCTTCGCATTTTTACGTGCTGTACTTTTAGTTTCACACACAAATGCATGGTCTTGGAGTCAATAGCAGCATAAAAGTTGTTTTTAAAAAAAAGTTCTTTATCCTGCATAGTTTAAAGTAACTTAATAGAAAACAGAAAGTGTGCTTTGGTCTTCACAAACTCCCATGATGCACAGCAGCATCTTCCAAAATCCCCAACAAGAAAAGATATCCATTAGAACATTAACAGCATCAACAAACAATCCTTTTAAAGTCACAAGAAGGAATTTGCTTTGCTCCTCCAAAATTCAGGATTAGTAGGGGAGAGGTTCTAAATTCCTCTGAGCCAAGCCCATGTACGGGCATAAGGTGAAGGATCAGTCACTCTATTCTCTTTTTTCTCTGCGAGCTTTTCTCTTCAGTTGAAGTGTCTTCAGTTCAGTCATAGTGGCAAAGGTCCTGTACACCCACACCATCTGGAAGTGAGAATTGTGTGTATACATGGTTAGGTGTTTACTCTGACAAACCTGCTTTTGGTAAGTGTTTTTTTTTTTACTGTTTTTTTCAATTTACTCGCAAGTGACAGTTGGTAAAACATTTGAAAACATACCACAATAATGACTGCATTGAGCAGAAGAGGAATGGAGAAGACCAGTGATATGAACATGCCTTTGGAGTCAAAATACTGGAAATTAGAAAAGGACCTGCAAAAAATAAGTCATAGGGTAAATGTATAATAACATTACTACATTCTTTGATGCACACAATGCAATGCACAATGCAGTGTTTAGCTGTCTTACCTCCAGTTCATGGCGGCCAACTCATTAAGGTATTCAGCACTATAAACCAGCCCAACTGTGGACAGAAATAATCCCAGAAAGTTAACAATAATTATACAATAAATTAACATTTAAATTAGCTTTTGATTAGCAAATCCAAGGACATAGAAAATATACAGGCATACCTGACCAATCAGCTAAAAGTCAGGGTTTGAGTTTTTTCTCTGCCTTTACTATACACATAACTTTAAGGATTTTTCTTACTGATGTTTTTAAATCTTCTTTTTCAAACTGGCAAAACAGGAAAACCTTTTTGATCGATAAAGTACAATGGGAAGGATAAAATGAACAGCTGCTGCGACAAACCCAACACTGTTAGTGTTTCCAATATAAATAGTTAAACCATGCCGATTTGTTGTAGGGTCAGATCCATCCAAAGAAACTTGATGCAAAAAAACATTGCTCATGACCTGCCCTGATACGCACCTATGAGCATGAAGTGGCAGATCTGAGCTCTGTAATACCTGCAGGTCACTGCAGTCAGGAGCAAACACACACCGTGAAATGTCAAGAGCCCCATAAGCCAAGTTTCTGACCACTGCACCTGCAAACCACACAACATAACCTGCTGTTAACACAATTGCTCAATGAGCAATACAAACGTAACTCTTTAAATCTTTCCCAAGGTGTTCACTCATTAAATATGACAGCCAACTGTGCGCTACGCTGGCTAGCCTCTAAAATAGGATAAATAAAAATGAACTTACAGACATAAGAAACGTCCATATCGACGTTATCCTTAAATTGCTGTATCCGTCGATTGGTATCGAGCTGATATTCTCTGCTTTCTGGTCTGTCATCATCAGAAATCACTAACAGGCTGTAGCTTCGTAAAGAGTCAAATAAACGAGGCAAAATTGCGGAAGACGCACACGAATGACGTCACAGAAGCGACCAATCATGTGCCTCCCATAACAATGATTGATTAGAGAAAGGAACGGGACACAAAGAGTACAATTTTATTGTGTTGCTTTTTTTCTGACATACTTTGTCTGTAAATACACACATAGGAATAAAATTAAGATTTGTTTATGGTGCAAACTCAGTCAGACTAATATCAGGACTTTAAACATCTTTACACAAACGTACAGAAATTCCAAAATCACATTAAAGTTTATTGTAACCTTTTCTAGTTTTCTTCACATTGCCTTGTTTCCCACAATACCGAAAAATCACATATCTGTTAAATCTTTCTTTCCTCCAAACATCTTGAACAAGATTTTCCCCTCAGATGCTTTTTTTTTTTATAGATTTGTCATTGAAATCCCTCTGCATACACTCAAAGCCAACCTAGATTATAGATGAATGCCATTTTGAAAGGAATCAGCCATGGATTTTAGTGTAAATCAATGTTTAGTATCTACACTGACAAGATGGGATTCCCTCTGGCTTTACGTCTATATATTTCTGATACATTTTTCTTTCCCTTATTGAAGGCACAAAATCATATCACAACAGAAAAAATGTAATTAAGAAAGAACAGAGAACATAAGAACAAAGAACATAACTGCTTGAAAACATTTAAACTTTTAAAAAATTGTCTGACTTGACAAAGACATAACTTTAAGACTTAGCAGAATCAGTAGAAAACAAATGCATTCAACAGTTTTTAGTCCCATACAACAATGTTGAGTAAAATACAAAAACTTTATTGAACATATAAAAAGTCTTTGGTCGTGGACCTGGGTTTAGTACAGCAGAGTGAAACTGGAAAAAAATAGGAGAACAGATCCCTGCAGCTCAGCTCAGTTCAGGTCCTGTCTCTGCCAGGGTGAAAGTCAGGAACAAAAGCAGCAGCTATTGTGACGGGAGTAGAGTAACCGAAGGCAAAATTGTACAGGCCAAGTTTTAGACACTTCCAGGTGGAACGAAGCGCCTTCCCGACATTCTAAAAGTAGAGGAGAATAGTTGGATAGGTTCCTCACAAACTCACATCATGATAACTTTCAGAACCACAATAGCCAGAGGAGAAGATCTCTGTGAGCTCCCAGTGATTTGAGCAGAACCAGGTTATGAAAATATACAGCAAAGATCTGAAGCAGAACATGCTTTAAAGGTTAAATATATGTTGATGTATAACAATGGCACAGCAGGAGGAGAGGGACCGACTTCTCCTGGCTCAAATATAAACCAGAAGTCAAGGAGACTCCATTGTCTAGTGTGCTCAACACAGGAAAGGGCTACTGCGGAAACAGGAAATCAAGCATTTAACAAAAATAAGGAACTATTTGCTAATCAAAGTAAACTATTGCAGCTCTGTCTATGAGCTGAATTGACCTTACAACACTACAGATAAGTCAGTAATCCACATTTACACATTGGTTAGGTTTACTGTCGCAAATGCATGATGAGCGTTATAAATGTAATAATAGTTAAGAGTTAAATTAAATCTACAGATCTAAAAAGGATGTCGTGCCTCCTTTTTGAGACTTTCCCTTCTAACAAGACTATGTTATATATAATTAAGCTCACCATTGCTTGATGGAATTGCAACGATAAGATGATGATAGAATAAATATCATCTTGGTTAAGGCTGATTATGTGAAATGTCACCAGCTGGAGTAGTTTTTAAAAATAAACAGGCATTCGGGGATTGAAAAACAAACAAAAAAATGTGCAAATACATTTCTTACACAGGAGAGGCAGGTTATGAAGCCATGCCTTTAATAAGCAAACCTGTGATATTGTCATTAAGATTCCAATACTTAAAAATTAAAGAGAAACCAAGAAGCAAAAGGCTGACTTCCAAATTACGCATAAGGGCTGATGACTGTTCTGCTGCAGAGACCACACATGTGAATCTTAAAATGTCTTAAGTGAAGATAATCTCTGGCCTTATTCTGACCAGGTCAACAGGAGTCCAGGATTAAGGGCCAAGTGAAAATTAGTTCAATAATTTCCAGCTTCACATTGATCTCCTGAAAGATTTTGACTTACAATGAATTCTAACAAAGTATCTTACTAAACTCACATAGAAAACATACAAAACAACAAGTGACATTTTAAACGGAACACATTTATGTTCAGAAGTACCAACCTTTTTAACTTTTTTGTAGCTCTCTTTCTTCCTTTTCTTCCTCTCTTCTCTCGTTTCATCGTCCATCAGCTGCTCATACCTTTCTTGTGTGAAAGCAAAATGCATTTCCCTGGGCCTCTCATATTGTCCGCTCTCCTCAGCCACTGGCCAGCCATCATTACTGGGAGACTGCTCCGGCTTCTCTGATTGATCTGCACAGTCTACATGCCGTTGATACTTTGCGGCACGGACACTCAAAGTCGCACCCGACGATGAAACCGAATTCCTGTCAAACAGCCTCGAATGTAGAGATTTGGGCTTCATTTTATCTTCCTACTGCAGTTTTCAGAGATGTATTTAGGGGTGGCAGTTTTTTTTTTTTTTAAAGAGGTCAAGTATGTTGTCAACAAGGCGTTTTCTGCATGAGTGGAAGTGCATTCCACCGGTCTGATTTGTGGGGGATTTGGCACTGAGCCCTTAAAGGTGCAAATCCTTCCTCATCACAGGACTGACCTCAAAAGGGCTTAGGATATGAGGTGGAATGCTGGGGTCATTGGATGAGGAAAGAGTGGACTAGTCTCACTAACCACATATGTAACTACCAACAGTAAAGGAAACCTTCCCAATGCCAGTGGCAACGCATAAAACTTCCACAACACAGTTGTTTCTAAATGAGATTGATGGCATTACTTTAGCTGTTCGCACTGCTAAGAGACTTATAACAGAGTTATAACAAATATGTTCATGCATAAACTGAAAAAAGGAATTTATTCTTGGAATAAACAAAAATACATTTCTGGGAGAAGTTGTTGACAGTTCACTGAGGTTTTTTAAAGTAGACCAAGGCCAAAAACACCTCTCGGACCAGTGCTTACAATGTCTTATTGGAATTCAACCGAACAGTATCAAATATCTAACAAACTCCTTTACATAACAAAATACAAAGCAAAATAGGTGAGTCTTTAGTCCACTTATTGAGTAAAGAACATATTGCTGAAACATTCAATATAAAAATGTGTTCCCTAAAGTCACCTCTTTTAACATCACACTATGTTACTGGACACTACAGGATATCACTGGTCTTCATTTTGGTGTCTCTGTGAGTCGTTCTGTCCACGATCTGGATCTTTGAGACGGAGGATGCTAATGATTTTGCTCTCTGGAAGAGAACTGGAGGAAACAAAGAGGACAATTTTAATTAACTTTTTTTTAAAAATAATGTGGACAATATAACAAAAAAGTAAGTAAAAAAATTAATTCAAAGAGTAATACTTCATTAAATGTGAAACCGTTTCTCAACATCTTAGTTCTGTTATGTCCTTACTTTAACACAAAACTGTTCAGTTTTCGCATCTTTGAGTCAAAAAATTCTCAGAGTTGTGGTGCATGGTGCTCTTAAGTCACACAGCCTTTGACCCTGAATGCCTCAGTCAATCAGATTCAGTAAATCAGATTTACCCCAATGAATATACAGTACTTATGACAATAAAGCACATCTGGGTGGCCTAAATGCTTTGATCCATAGATAACTAAACAGAGACGAGTTATGTCAGTGGTTACCTCATGTTTTGGGGCGTAAGGAAGATGAACTGTCTGTAGTGCTGTCCGGACGCCACCTTCAGCATCATGTCCATAGATATCCTCCTGTTTATCATGTCCTAATAAATCAGAGGACATTGTCATGTTTGAATAAAGCCAGATATGATGGGTCAGTGGGTATGAATTGTCTCTTGAACTCCAAGTCTGTTTGTTATTTCTGATGACTATCTCAGACTGAGATTTGGACTTTTAGCCTGCATTTGTATCCAAACAAAAAACTTAAATCAAATTGTATCTTGTTACCATGTAAACATCAAACTCGTCAAGACAGCGGAATGGCGCCTCTGTGATGGCCCAAAGAGAGAGGACAAAACAAACAGTTGAGAAGGAGCGCTCGCCTCCAGACAGAGAGCGCATGTCGCTCAAGTCGGCCTTGTTTTCTTGTCCTGGCTGCACCTAAACAGGAATGGAAAAGCAAACATTGTTGGTTTTGAACGAGAACTCAAAACTGGAAACGTATGACATGTGACTCATTGAGCATGTGAACCCAAGGAGGATGATAAGAAAATCCTGCCAAGAGCAAACTTGCAAATCTATTTAGATTGTCTCTATTAGGAGTAAAGAGTAGAGAATAAATTACTTTCACAGCTAATCATCATAGACTGGGAATGGAAAACGGATTCGGAAGTGCATTGTGATGATTAAAAAGTTCTTACTGAGATAGAGAGGGTTTCATTCTTGTGGTCAAAGGTCATACTCCCGCTGTAACCTCTCTGAGCCAGCATGCTGTTAAAGTAATATTTACAGCGGGCTGAGAGGAACCTTAAACATAAAGAAAAGAGAATTAACTTTTGTGACTTAATTTGACCAAAACAATACTCTGAAAAAAACTCTTCTTCAAAACTGTCAAGAACAATGACCCCCTTCCCCACCCATCAGTTTGTGGCTCATACATCCCTGCTACATGAGCCTGAGTATCACCACGTACCTCCTGAGGTCAGCGTAAACCTGGAGTCTGTGGGACATGACACTGTCCAAGCTCTTGATGAAGCTGTTAAGATTCTTCATTTGTTGTGACATGTTCTTGTAGTTCTCCATTGCCTCTTGGTACTGCCTTTTTTGTAAAGCAAAAGGGGGGGGGGGGGAAACAAACAAGGAAAGGGTTTGATATTCGTTGTGGTGGACGTGCTGTATTTTAAACAGTGAAATAAAACGTATGTACAGAGTGATGCTTCCTGGTAGTGACCGTTAATATTTAAATAGGAACCACCATTCATATCTTGGTATTTCCAGGCTGAAAACAGACAAACGAAACAAAAAGAAAATGTAAAATACCTGACTATCTCTTCACGGTTCCCCTGCTGCTCCTGTTGGGTAGTAATCTTTATCTTGAGGCGGTTGATCTCGCTGTCCAGACTCTTGGCTGATCGGCGGACTTCGATACGTTCTGGAGATATTCTAGTGGCCTTAGCCACGGACTCCTGAGTACAAAAGGGAAAGAGGCAAATCTCAACATTGACAAAGATTTCAAGTAAGAATGAAACCTGTTGACGGATCCCAAATTTTTCAAAAATAACATTGGTTCAATCTGAAAATCTGACAGCATACCCCCAGTTCCCCCTCCTTTCTCTTTAGTTCAGCCTCCAGCGTCTGGATGTTGCGCAGATGGCCACTGCGCTTCTCATCATAGTGTTTCTTGTGATGTTTGGCCTTCATCACTTCCTGGTCAATTTTACTAAGTTCATCCTGTGGTGGACAAAGCAGCAACAGATAAAACACAATCTGATGAATATCACAGACAAACCACCACATAATGGTTGTTGCTTGTATATATATATATTTTTCTCTTAAAAAAAATCTGTCCTGGTGCTCGTTGGCTCCCTACTCTTCTGCAGACTCCCCCCTTCCTACCGGTAGGATTTATTTATGGTATAATAGTATTTACCTTGACTGACTCGGCCCCTTCAGCGACAGTGTTGATTTGCTCTTTGTGCTGCTTGTACTCTTGCTCTGCTCTATCATAGTCGGCCTTAAGGCTGGCCATCTGGGTCTTTGCTTCTTCGCACTCAGCACGGTTGGAAGCAATCTTTGCAATGACCTCCTGCAGCTCCTCCTCCTGTGTTCAATCAAGAATCACAACACGTTATACGTTTGCTTGCTGAGTGCTGAAGACTATATTTCTCTTTTGTGTATCTACTACCTTAATGAGAATATAAACAAGCCGTTTAAGTATATAGAAAAACACTGCCTGTACAAACCAGAGGCTTGAGGTCCTCGGATTGAGGCTCTTCCACATTCTGTAGGTCTGTCAACTCAAGCTGCAACTTTGTGGCCTTGCTCTACGGAAAAATCAAATAAAAAAACAAAACATGATTATATTACCCTATTATTACAACAATGTCCTGTAACATTGTAAAGAGATCCAGTTGATTGTTTAGAAACACCGTTTTCCTTAGTTTAACCTGAAACTGAAAAAAGAAAAATCTAAGAAACAGTAAAGGTGAACAAAACCCCCTTTAAGGGAAGTTGTTTCTACGTCCCTCTGAGGTAAAGCTTTGTAGTCACCACATCATTGCATGACATAAAGGAAAACTGTTCCAGACATAAGTTAATAACAAAGTATAGTTAGTTACTTTTGTGGTCTTTTGCTCCATGTAGGCTCTTCTCAGTAGACTTTCATTTTGTTTCATGTCTTCATCTAACTTTCTCATCTGTTGTTGGAAACGAGTTACTTGAGCTTGCTGGTTCTCCAGCTCTCTTTCTAGGTGCCTGAGAGACAAGAGAAGAAACTGAAGTACGGTAGTAAAAAAATTACTCTGAAATTGTTAAAGTGGGGCATGAAAAGGGAAAGAAAACAACTTCACACATTGAACATTGAAATAAGTTCATATATATCTAAATACCTACTGCTAATGCATTCAAACTGATATTTAAAGCGTACATTGGAAATCATTTTTCACAAATGATGGCAGTTAAAGGCATAATAACCAAGAGCACCATGAGGCTTACCTTATCTCCTCCTCAACATCTCCTGAGAGATAGATGGCTCTGCTGTGTTCAGCTGCGTAATTACGGTTATTGAAGATCTGATCCCCTTCTTTGGAGAAGGCCTGCGTGCAGTTCGCAGGTGGATTTTTGCCTTGCATAATTCTTCGAGCCGTTGTGCGGTCCTAAACATGCAGACACACAGAAGCCATGTCAATACATTGCGATTAAACACAAAAATAGTGCAAAAAATATTCAATAAAATTTATTGGCAAGTTCCACACATGGTTTTACATATTAGTTAGATTCAGTTCGGTTAATTTCTTTTTATTATAATGTTATTATATTCATTTATACATTTTTTAAATATTTTTTTACTTTTAGAAACTCATTTGTGGGAACGAAGCACAGAAGCATTAGACAGAATCTTTCTGCACACACAAACAAGGTTTCAGCTGGTTTGCTGTGTTTTGATCAGAGGTTTGGAATTTTTCAGGAGATTGTTCAAAGTCTTGCATCAGGTGACCAAAATACATGGCATACATACAGTACATTGTCAGATTAATGATAATTGCAACATTGTGTTTACTTTGTAAGTCGCTTTGGAAAAACATGTTGAACCGGTCTTCGCTCAAGTTTTAGAATGTTACAGTGTTATTTTTTATGATGCTGCCTTTTATTTTTTACGAACACAAAAAAATACCTTAATAAGCAAAATGCTCTCTATGTTCCTTTGATCAATGAGGCAGTTCGCCACGACAGGGTCTTGAATTTCCAAGGCTTGAAGCACAGAGGGGTAATCTGGGTGATTCACACCTCTGTTGGGTGAAAAAAGCAAAACATTTTTGTTTTGTCAAAGATAAATTTCATTCCAAGTAAAACTTGTTTGACTCAGACATCATATTTCTTCAGAATGAAACAATGTCAATACACGTTTTCTGACAATAAGTTTTATATTAGTTACCCCTTTTTCTAATGCTAATTTTCATTGTAGAAGGCTTTAAAACCAAAATAACAAGCAGTGGTAAATATTGATTGAATATTCTGTGGCTGACTTCACCTTCTCCTTGTGTCATGGACATGTTGAAGGAAAGGGCTGGTAATAATTGTAGGTCTGCGGCCAGTAGGAAATGCTTTGACCAAGAGGCCTTGCAGCACCCTCTCATCCTCGTAGTTGTCACATGTGAATGCCTGTAGCTGGCCCTTAAGGCATATCTCCACAGCCAGGGCCTGCTCTGGGTCTTTCAGACTAATAAGGTAACCTGTAGAATGGTAGAGAATATGAAAATAAATAAATAAATATCATTAACAAACTCCTCTTTTGGATTTCTGGCATGTCGAGCAAACAGCTGCAAACGAGTCAACACCGCTTCATAAAAAAGAAGCCAAAGTATCAAATGTGTGATAAATGATTTAGTCTGCCAACATGGATGGATTTAATGTGGGGACTTGACGTGCCCGACATCACAGAGAAAAAATAACAGAGATGGGAGCTTTGATGGAAAATGAATGATCTTTTTTCTGGCCTGAGAGAAGTTAGTGTGGCCCCATCTGCAATACTCATTTGGCAGGGGGGGGCATACCTGCTCAACATATCTGAGATTTCTTTAAGGCTTTAAATGTGAGAAGGAAGAATTTTAAATAAAAATGTAACAAGGAGCCAGTACAGAGAGGCAACCTTCAGTTTAATGCGTTTGTGCCTTTTTGTCCTGATAACCAATCAAATAAAGACAACAGAATTAATTATAGACAAAAGCCTGCAAACAAATTAGGGACTAAGTTTTACCAAGAGGTCCTCGGGGTTTGTGCTTGAACTGACTCTTTCTGTGAGCTTCCTGGATGGCACTGAGCAAAGCTGGCATGTTCTCTCCAAAACGTCGAAGCCGATTTGATCGACTACTCTCCATAGTTCTCAGGTTCCTTCGGTTGGCTTCGATGGACCTCTGGAGCACTTCATACTCTCTCCTGGAGACAGAAGATGAGTGTTGTTGTATAGTATGGAGATATGTACTTCTGAAAAAAAAACTTATATATCTGTTTTCTAAAGTGAAACTAAGATACATCAATTTCTTACAACTTACATCAAACTATGATTATGTTTGCCTCTTGTAAGAATCCACTAAAAGATCTATTCAAACTCAACTAAGGCTATGAATACAATGAGCAGAGAGGATTTCCTTACTTCATCTTTCCTTGCTCTTCTTTGGCACGGCTGCTGGCGTGTTGATACTGATCAATCTGCTGGCCAAGAGTTGAGATCTGATGTTTCAAGTGTTCCAACTCGGCTTGAATCTGCTCCACATGCTCTGCCCTCGCCTGGCTTTCGGCACCTGTTGTCTGACTGATGCTAAAGAGATAAATAGGTGATAACACAAAAATGGAAGGCGTGTGAAAAGCCTAGAAAAACCAGCGTGTTCTCAGAAAAATCAAAAGGTAAAGAAGATAAATGAAAAGGTGAAACTCAAATCACACCTTGTTCTGAGGTCTTTTATCCGTGAGGACAGCTGAACTTTGTCCTTTTCCAAGTCCCTGAGGCTAGCTTTGCATCTGTGGACGGTCACCTGAAGGACAGCCGTAAATGAAGGATTAAAATGTTAGCAAGTTAATGACTAATGTCAAGGTAGTACTTCGTTAATAGAACTAAAGATGTGTCTGGTCTAAGGAGCTCTGGTCAGTTCAGCACATTACATCAGGATATTTGTTACATACAAGCAGCACAAACATGTGGCTAAAGCATAGCTTGAACTCTGACCTCGCTGGACTTCAGAAGGCTATTCCGTCTCTGGGCTTCGGCCTTCAGCTCAGCACATTTAGGCTGAAGTTCCTGAACTTGTTGGGTGATCCCCTCCAACTGCTCCTGAATCTGCCTGTATTTATTCTCTGCTTGTTCAACTTTATTCTACACAATGATACAAAAAAGTTTTAAAAAAGGGAAAAACTGTAAATAAAAATGAGGTAAATCCAAGAATGACCATCCTCAAATACTGTAATGAAAATACCACAAATGTCTCACACCTTCCACTCGTCCACTTTTTCATCATATTTCTCTGTGGAACGTTTGTCTGCCTGCAGCTTATCTTTCATTGGTTCAATTTCTTTCTCCATTTCAGCCACCTACAATATTGAAACACATTGAATATGGGAGGATACGGTCAGCTGAGAATGTGATGCAGGCAGGTATTGTATGCTATGAAAGGAATTTCTCACCAAAGCCCAAGCCATCTGTTTCTGTAATTCCTCCAGTTTGTTGTGCATTTCATCAAGTGACGCCAGGCTCTTGTAACGGTCCTCCTTCTCCAGGTACTTTCGCTTTAAGTCCTTCAAGCACTAAGAAAGCAACAAAGACATGCACACTCACATTAAGTTTTGTAGCATGTGTGCCAACTACACTACTTATTTTGATTGGTAAATTAGAACAAATAGTGCTGTTTAGTGCTGAACAAATGTTTCCCTCAACATCATTTTAGGGTGAAAGTAGTCCATACCTCACTGTGCTGTCCAACTTTATCCTCTGTAACATGCTTTGTTGTTTTGATGTAAACAAAGTCCTCTCTCATCTGTTCCAGTTGGGTGGCTTTCATAAAAAACTGCAAGATAAATAAATGCATTGGGAAATCTATTTAATCGATGGATTCAAAATAAACAGCAGAAAAATCCAAATTTCAGTTCTTTAAGCTCATAAGCATGCTTACAGAACTAGCTCAGAAGTTGGAAAAGCAGTTGTGTTGACCCTGTTATCTGCAGTCGATTACACAGTACATATATTTGAAGTCTGCCACAAATTTCATTGCAAACCCTTTTTACTCTTTACTTAAAAATATCAAGTTGGTGATAGCAGTTAAGATCTGTACCTAATTAAAAATCATTCAGAATTTCATTCAAATGTTATTCTTACATTATGAGACGGTGTTAGAGTATAAATAGGATGACTAGCGAAATATTAATTCACTCTATATGTAACTGCACCACAAAAAGTCAGACATTTTTATACATTAAGGTGTACGGCTGAGTAATACTTAAAACAAACCTTATACTTATCTCCCTCTCCCTTTGAGTGTAAAAAGTATTTGCTCATCTCCTGAGTCAGAACTGATACAGGATTGTTGACCTTTGGAAGAAAAGAATGAAAGTAGGGAAGAGCGACAGGAAGAAAGAAAGAAAAAACAACCAATGAAGAATATCTGAGTAACACTAGTCTGTTTTTTATTTACCATAGTGGATCACCAATGACTGGAGATAGCTTGGATGATCAACAATACATGTGTAATGACACAATATTATGCTTAAACAACACTGAAGTCCTAAATTTGTAATGAATAATACCTGTATGTCTCTTACCTGAATATTGAAATTGTCCAAGATGGAAAGTAGTTCTTCTTTTTTGGTTGAAACAATTTGACCTTTAAGTTGACACAAAGTACGTTTATTAACCTCTGACCTAATGAAATACTAATACAAGGAACAAGTTTTTTGTGTTTTTAAAAGCTAGGAGTCCAAAATGCATCTAAATTGGTTGTATCAAACAGTGCCGAGTTCCTCTGAAAATAGACATATAGATAGGCTTATTTATCTTTACAGACCGACCTGATTTAGTTCTGAGTTTATATGTTCTCATCCCTTCTCGTGTTATCCTCAGATCTATAACGATGGCAGAGCCATACACCTCAGGTTTGTAAGCATCCCTTCCTTTGTTACGCAGGGTGACCGATACATCCGCAGCACTGGGGAAACAGAAGCACTCTGTCAGTCTAGTAAGTTAAATTAAATTAGAAAAAGGCCTGAGAATAAACACCATACTATTTCAAATGATACAATTCAAACATCTCTCTATATAGAAAAGGAACAACAACCACAACTGTCTAAGTAAATCAACAACGATTCTGTAGCATGTAAGAGGTGACTGTTGGCAGTTGGAGCTAAAGAATTTTCCCATGAGTTCATAGAATCCTGTTTGTGAAACTACATGACAAAAAAGAATGTATAGCACATTATGTTGAAATATTTACCTTTCTCCTTCTTTCACAAATCCCTTGAGGGAAGACCCTCTGTTTGTAGCTTGTGCGTTCCCACCCAAGGCAACTATGAGAGCTGTCAGAATGGCACTCTTTCCACCTGTTTCAAGCAATTTGCAGAAGATTTTAAATGCCAAAAACTTTACATGGAAGCCAAAAAATGAAATTGTTCTTGTTATTCAAGAGCATTTACCTATGTTAAACTTCTACTTAGGTTCATGAAAATTTAATATCTAATTTGAACCAATCATCCAGGTCCAATTTGTTTGTTTTTTCCTCCATTTATTGTAATTAAATCTCTACAATTAATGATCACAGAGATGAAAAGTTAAGTGGATTAACTCAATGTAGAGATTTGCAAAATACAAAAAAGACTAAATTGAATGATTGTGGATTTTTGTGGAAAATTAAACATTCTATATTTCAAATAAAAAATGACACTACAATGAATTGAGTACATATATACTTGTATCTGAATTAATGCGTTTTGACCATTCAGTGAGCTATTTCATTCTGAAACATTTTCTCAACTTAGTAAAATATCCACCGTTTCATAGATCTGATGACAAAAATTTTTGTTGAATCGGATTAAAATAAAGAATGAGGAATCTTCCATATTGTAAAAAGTCAAAATGATCCAGTCCAATATCCATGATACAAGCTGGAAGTGATGCAAAACACAACCGCTTCTTATAATGCCAGTTTTAAAGAATACTGTTAACACGTTCATAGTCTCATTGAAACATTACAGCAGTTGAGGAAGAACACTTACTTCCATTGTTGCCAACAACAAAGTTGACATTGGAACCAAATGCAAACGGACCGAGCAGCGAGTGACACATGAAGTTTCTCAGTGTGATGCTCTCCACAATCCCAGCATCACTAACCACATCACAGGCGAGCTGGAACTACATGCAAGTGATACATGTCAATGCCTACAGCACAATACTGGGTAACACACGATTGATGACGCCTTTATCTTCCAAAGTCTGAAATCATTGTAACTGACACAAAAGAAGAAAAAAGCTACACATAAAAAAGTACAAGTGGATCAAAACATTAGCATTTATTTTTGCGCAGTGACTCTTTGCGTACCCGTTTATTCAAAGCAAGGTCTTCCTGGTCACTATCAGCAACGGTTCCTTCCTCTTCATCACCATCCACTGCAGACTTTCGTCGTTTGTTTGGGTTTTCAGAAACAGACGTACCCCTCCGTTTAGACATGGTGGGCATCCAGGGTATATTGAAGCAAAACGAAACTGAAAGAAACTGCACTCCAAAGCTATTAGTATAAATTCGTGCTTTTAATTTAACTTAACAAAGTAAGTTCAATTTCAAACACCTCCAAATACTGTGACACTGGTTACAAGCTACTGATTACAAGCTACCAGCATGTCAACTGACACTAACTTTACATGATTTTAGCTACATTACAGATTTAGCCTAGCAGGTTAACTATCGCGGTCGAATACATATTCAAACGTTTGTTGAGTACTTTCATGCGTTAAAAACACCCTTATAAGCAACCAAAATAACTCATAAGATAACTTGTGATCTGTTTCTTACCTAGTTTATCAGGCAACTGCACTTCGCCTGCTCGCGCGAAAGACCACCATTCTAAACATGCAATCCGGGTTACTTAGGTAGAAGTCTCGCGTGAATAAGCGAGGCCACTTGTGTGGTTTACTCGTTCGAAACAGGAAAAATGTCTTTACTGTTTTTTTGTTGTTGTTGTTTTTTTCATAGTTATTACAGATAAAAAACAGAGACACCCCAAGATAACACAGGAATACTACGTAAATGAAAATGGTGACAAAAATTAAGCCTTTTATTCTGTGTCAAAATACAGTGGTAGTAAATTACTCCATGAGATTTAAGTGCCCTATATCGATTCAATACGGGGATTTTGGAAATTGATGGCATGTTTATTTTATTTTAATTAATAGCTAAATACTCATTCATTCGAACTCTACTGTCTTTACTATTCCATTTATAGTATACATTTTTTTGTGTGATCCTGACAGTTTATGACTAAGAAGAAAAGGTTAAATCATGTTTCAAGCAATTATAGTTCTGATGGTGCCAGGTTTAATTATGGATCTGAAACTATTTGTATAGAGATTACATTCATGCATTCCACTGCATTTACAGATTATTTGACCATATTTGATATGCAGTAAGAATCTGTGTTCAACATTTCTAAAAACAATAAGTTACAGGACATTGTTGGCTCCGGAGGCTCCCAATGCCAGGAACTTGTTCAGTTTGAACTCAAAATCAATAGGACGTTCACTGGCAGGTTTGTAGTTCCCTGTCATCACTGAGCTCAGATAGGGGATGAGTGCACAGTTTTCTTCAAACAAGGCGAGCCTCCTTTTGTATTTCCGGCGGTTGTAGTCTGTGCTTTTGTGATTGAAAGCTATACAAATGAGAGGCATAAAAAACAAGAACTGTAAAGCTGCAGATGTCAGTTGTAACTTGAAACAGCATTAAAGCATTACCACACTAATTGATTCCAAAACTTAAATCATATTCAGTTTTAGACCTACAACACCCAGACAACCTGCTTACCTTTTAAATAGAATCCCACATAAAGGAGAGCTGATCTCTGTATACTGAGAAAGGGATATTTTGGTTTGAGACACCCAACAGCTGTCATGGCCTTGATTACAGCGACTGCCACTCCCTAAAAAGCATCAAGATTGGACTTTAAGTAGAGTGAAAATCACAGTAAAACTCATCAAATGAATACATTGAAAATTGTAATAAATGTAAGGTTGGTTTCAGTGTTACGGTGCCTGACTTGTTCCAGGTAGCCCAATGTTGGTAGGGAGGTGAGGAGCACAGGTTCACACACAGGAGGCAATTTACTGGGCAGCCTCTGCTCCCAGTAGGTTTCAGGAGTCCTTGATAAATTATATATGGGCAACAAGTTTAAAATTGATTGATAATATGAAAAAGCTTACGTGCATGTAATTCACTCAAACTCAACATTAATGTGACATTAGAAACTAATTAGTACATTCTGAAATAAATTGATACCTCAAAAACATGTCCTGTTTCTGTTTCGTTTCACAAATGTAGATCCGGTCTCTGTATTCCACAGCATATTCTATCTTTCCTCGAACCAGAGCTTCATATCTAAAGACAAATTGGGTTTTCATGTGTGAAAATGCTGTTACATATAGTGACGAGTTGAGAAAAAGGGAGTAATCAAGGAGTTTATATAATTTTGGCAACTTTGAACTTAATTGATATAAAAAACAAGATATCAAAAACACTTGTTTCCATGTATTAATGGATACCACCTTTAATCTATTACTGTGTTAACAACAGAGAAACACCAACATTTCAAATGAACAAATAATCTCACTGTTTATTTCTAAAAGCAATACCTTTGGTTTCCATCCAGGTAGGTAACAGGGCAGAAACCCTTCATTTCAACCTGCTGAGGGAACCTGTTCTTCACCTGGATCTGTGTCAGCTTTCTTGGCAACAGGTGGGGTTCTGGGAGGGCATTTGGGTGGTCAGATGCCACAAATTGTTCAGGAGTTGATAGGAACTTCTGTTATTGAGAGAGCATTATCAAATATTTTTTTATTGACCATCCACAAGTTTACCTGCTGGCCAATTTAGATACAATACACATCCAAATGTCCCCTCAAACAAAAAGGGGAGAGCATAATTAAACAATTGTTTGATTTAAAAAAAAAGAAACAATCAGTTTAGGTGACAATCTCTCATTTTCATCACAGTTGACATCTACGAAAAAAAACACTTGCAAGTGGACATCCAGGACACTAACCTCGAGATGATTTTCACCACATAAGTTGTAATAGTGTCCCTTGTACTCAGCTGCATTGGTCAACGCTGCAGATTCTGAGCAATCCACTAGATGGTGATAAAGAGCCAGGCAGACCGGGCAGTACTGGCAAAACTCTCCAAGCCGACGTTTCAGCTCTTTGGGTGTGATACACAGCCTGTTGATGCAGGCTGCTTTGCCTAGTATATATATGAATATATGGCTGAAGGGTTCTGCATGCTAAAATCTGACTTTTCATAAACACATAAACTTAAATAATTGATACTAAAGCACCACAACATTTTGCAAACTTGATTGCTAGAGTACTTTAACCCATGCTCTTTGAACACTTACCACTTTGCCTTCTCTCCAGGTAAGTGTTGATGTATTTCATGCTGATGCTGATCTCTTTTATGATGCTCTTCCAGATCCACCATTTACTTTTTAGGCCATCTAGGATTATCCAGTTATGATATTGTTGTTGGAAGTAATTCCTGATGTGCACCACCTCTTTCTTGTAGTTGGAGTTGCAAATTAGAAGGATCTCTGAGCTGTCATGCATTATAAAAGGCCTAGAATGATGGCAAAAAGGTGAATGGTACATTTTTGTGTACCTTTGCATCTATTAGTCAGTTGTCAGGTAAATATTTTTTAAAAATTAACATGTTTTTTCTAACTTGTTGGGTTTCATCTTGTCTGCAAGGCCTCTCTTCAGCACCTCTACTGTGTTCAGCTCGAGCTGAACTACTATCATGGGAATGATGCCCCGGGACCCCATCAGCTCTGCGTGTTTGAGGGTAATTGGAAAGCCATCCAGAACATACCTGGAACATCATTAAAGTCAGACAAGATTTAAATACGAACTCAGACTGGAATCAGAAGGGACTCAAAAAGACATTGTAATGTTATAAATACTGTAAGAATAGGAAGTATTTCCAAAACACAAAAGCATTGATAACAATTTTATGAAGTATATCTAAATATACCCTTAAATTGTAAAATTGATGAAAAATAAACATAATAAACCCTTAGTCCTACCCTTGAGTGCTGCAGACCAAGCTCATGAGGGCTACCTCTAAACACTGAATGGCCAGTTCATCAGGCACAGCAAGGCCCTGAGTGAGATACTTCTTCATCTGGACAGCCAGATCAGTGTGGCTCTGTTTGTCCAGTACCATACGCATGGCACTACCAATGGTCAGCCGAGCCAATCCATATTTTTGAACAAACATTTGTGCCACTGAAGATTAGAAAAAACACAGTAAAAGAAAAATGTAAATTTCTAGAAGTGAATATGATTATTTCCAGCAGCTTTGAGTCTTACCAGTGGTTTTTCCAGATTTGGGTGGTCCGATGACTACTACTTTAACGGGGAGTGTAGGGGTGGGCTTCGGCTGCCGCAGGTACCTTAACGGGTTGAGCATGAACTTGCTGCGATTGTCCTTGGTTGAGAAGAAGTAGATGTACTGATGCAGAAGGAGGGGATATGTGTTGTTGAGAGGCCACAACAGAGGATGGACAGTGTCTCTCTCTTTGCACTGCTGTACACCAAGATTGTGCAAAGAAAATGAAAAGTCATGTTACAGCAAACCATTTATAGAACAATTTGCCAGTTTCTTTGTACATTTGCTTGAAATGCTTTTTGAAACTTTAGAAAGGGAGTTCCTACATGATATCTACCTGAATGGGGTCCCAGCAACCAAAGGAACTGTTGAACTTATAGGAGGAGAGCAGCAGTTTGTGTGCTAGGGTGTATGAGATGGTTTGGCATGTTTGGAAGAGGGACTCTCTGTTGGCTGTCAGAGGCTGGATTTTCTGCAGCAGTTGATTACGAACTGTTTGAAGCTTGCGAGATCCATTGATTACCAGTTTGGGTATATGAAGTTCACTCAGGAGCTCCTGAAAAAAAAAGAAAGAAAGAAACTTTGTAATCATAAGAAAAATACAAGCTTTTTACGATGTGACTAACTAGTTATAAGAGCTTTAAAGAATGTTCTTCTATACCGTCACAGTCACGAGTCTGTTTTCATCTGTTCCAAAACGTTCTTCTATTTCCATCTGTAGTCTTTCAGTGGTGACATCCTCAGTCTCCTCATTCTCCTCCTCTGGATTTTCTTCTAAAGGAAATTCCTCTTCCAGTATGGCCTCAATCCCATCTTCCATATTTTCCGCACCTTCGTCTTCTTCATCATCACTTTCCCCCATTTGAAACCTAAACTGTTTTGATAGAAAAATGCAAGTACAGAGTCATTTTCAAACATTATCATGTCATGAAGAGTTTACTCACCTTTGTTTTGGTTTCCTTGAGACCTTGTTCTTCCATGAGTTCAGCCCTTCTCCTAGACACTTGCTCCTCCTGTGTCACAAAGTGAAATATTATGGATTCCATCTTAGATAACCAGCAACAGATATCGGTCCATTGTTTTTTTTATTTCCTCCTCATCCAATTTATGGTCAGTGAACTGGAGCCTCTTACAGCTGCCTTCATCCGAGCTATAAATTTCTTACCCTTTTTTTCTTGCGCAGATTCGAAAGGAGTTCCAACTTTTCTTTACGGTTGTTTTGAAACTCCCGCCATTTCTCAAGGTACGTTGGCAGCAGACGCTTCTGAACATTCAGTGCATCTACTTCTAAGAATATGACAACATCAGGAAAAAGTTGCTGCTCTGATATGTACTGCACATCCTCAGGAGTATGAGGAAAGCCCTCTAATATGAAGCCGGTGGACCTGTAAAGGATAGTTTTTAGGGTAAGATAACTTTACTGTTGCTAAATCAAATGCAAGATGTAAGTGAAAGGATATACACTTGATGCATATCAGTTTTTAACAGCAGGAAAAAAATAGAGAGGGAGAATGAAAGATGTATTAAATGATAACGTTTTCGTTAATACATTATTGCTTTTTCTTATGAAAATGTAGGCACATTCCTGCTAGCTGGAACAGCAGAAGTGAATAACAATGGTTAAGATTAATCCTGTCAAGGTTTTGCTTATTTGACATTTGTCATTTCTGTAGATAGTCATTTCTTCCCATACTGTTCCCTAATATAAAAAAATATATTTCAAGAAGGGTTTAGTTTGAAAAAGCAAGCATCAGGTATACCTGTAGGGTTCTTGTTTCCAGTATGGTGCAATCACGGTATCCAGAATCTGTGCACTAAGCTGATCTCCATCAGACAGGTAAACTCTGATGGCCATTTCTTCTTCAGTAAGATCAACTTCCTCCTGTGAATATAAGAATAACATTTGAAAAATCTTCAATAAGCATTGTAGTTTCCCAACTACAAGTTTTTATTCAAATATGCATACTAACACAAAATCTGTAATAAAAACTATTCCTATAGCTGACCTCTGTGTCATTCACATTGTCAGATTCAATATCTGTCTCGTTCTCAGGTTCTCCCATGGCTTTCTTTATTTGGGTCTCCAGGTCGCTCAAATCATCCACTAAACTAATTCCCTCATCAGTGAGAGGTACTCTCTTTTTTGTCTTAGCCATCATCAGCATTTGGAGCTGCTCCCTGAACTGGATGTGGAAAAGCCCAAGCTGCTGAGCCAACCATTCACCATGAGTTGACTTGCCTGAACCTCTAGCACCCAGCAGAAAGATTCGCAAGGCAGGAGGCTGGTATGGATGGGAAAACAGAGTATGTGAGAGAATTTCCTCTTATCTCACCAAAAACAACTTATTTCTTTTTCTCTGCTCATATGATACTGTACCTTGAGAGGCTTGTTCTGTGCAGCAAATTGTGCAGGGTTTTGAATAAAGGAGTCTCTAGCATCCTGACTAGAGAAATAGAAGGTTCTCTCACGGTATTTGGCAGCAATTTCATCTGAACACGGCAACAGGGTGTTGAGTTTTTGTAAGGCAACGGGACAGAAATGCTTGGTATCCCCTAAAAGTCTTTTAGATGTGGTTTCCCCCTGGAATTTGTATTATGAGAATGGTGATATTGTTAAATGTTTGCTTATGTTGATTGCTTTCAACAGTGTTATTGCATTTATTAAAAGTGTTTTCACAATATACAAACTTCCTCCTCCTCTTCCTCCTCTGCATCATAACCGTCACTGCTTCTCTCCTCTGCCTCCATATCTTCTGCCTCTTCATCCTGATCCAATGCAGACAACTCCCAGGCTACATACTGAAAGGGTTCTGAAGAGCATGTATGGACTGGGGTTATTTTATTTAATAAAATGTAAACTAGTCGGTAGTTTTATAAGTTAAAACAAGATTTATAAATACAATCATATGAGTAAGTCTTCAAGATGTCTCTGCTAGTTATTTTGTCATTGCTTCAAGCAAGAGATATTGAGAGTGATTTAAAGAAATGTTTATTCTATGTATGTCTGCTTCAGTTAGTCATGTGACAGAAAACATCTTTAAATGTATATTTGAAACCAAATGACCAGAAAACTTAATTTTTACACTCACTTTCCATCTGTTTGAGAATCTCTTGAAACAGTTTCTCTGGGCTTTTGTTTCCAATCTCCAAGGCACAATGGGTGACTGTTAAACCAGACTTTAATTGCTCCCATTCTCCCTCAAACGTTTGCATTTGCAGTTTATACTTATCCATCTCTGGGCCCTCTGGATAGCCAAATTCCCAATCGTCTTGAGGTGCCACAACTTGAACCATGCAGAGAAAAGCAAGGATATATTAGAATTGAAGATTCATTTCTTAGTTTCATTCTACTTTTATGATGACTTTCTACTTGCAAACAAAATGTCTCATGTAATATGCTGTACTAATATAGGCACTATGGACAATTAGTTTCCATACCATGGTGCAACCATTTAAAAAAAAAGTAACTCTAAGTATTTTGAAACCTTGGCAAAATCAAATTGCTGATCTCATCCATGCACACTTAAATGTATAATTTGACCGCATAGTATTTCCTCATTAAAGGAATATTTTCCCACTAAGAACTAATAGATAAAATAAGATATTATAGACCATGTATTTCCTATTCAACAGTTTCCTTTGTAGTGTCGTCATGTCTCACCTTCTTCTTTAACTGTGTCAGAATCTTCAAGGATAGTCAAACCAGACTGTTCTGCTGGTGGATAAAATGCTGATTAAAGATTTCAGTTTCAAGGAGAGTATGGAAATATAAGCTCTTTAATAGATATGAAATACCATCAGTCTCTTCAACAACTGTCTCTAGATTTGACTTTGCCTCTGATACCATGTCCTTTTGCTTTCTAGAATAAATAGAAACAAAGCACAAATGTTTTCAAATAAACAACACTAAAAATGAATTATTGACTATTGATTTGAACTTACAAAAATAGATTTTTCCTCGGAGAGTGTTTGTCTTGTGACCTCCTGCTCATGGCTTTGTTTAGATTTCCCTTATCCATCTCATAAGCTCTTCTAAGAACAGCTAAGCACAAAGTGTAATGCAGTGGGTGAAACTTGCCATACGGTATAAACACAAATGTAAATTTGAAGTGTAAATACTAAGTAAAAAGGATATTCCTACTGTGATGTCCATCGGTATCTTGGAGACAAAAGATGACATCCAGCAGAACTCCAGCTTTCCTTAAGGCTTCCATTTGGAAAACATTCTTAGGAAAGTTGTCAAGCACCCAGCCAGTGATACATGTTGCATCTGAGTTCGATTCTTCAATCTGTTAGAGCCAATGACCCAGTAAAATATTTTGCCCAACAGTAAAATCTTTTTCACTGTATGTCAAAGAAGTGAGAAAATATTGTGTTTCTATGTTTGCTTGACAGTGTATTATCAAATATGTAAAATGGTGATATATCAGTCAAAAGTTTATTAAATGTTAGAATTGATACTGTTAAAATTGTCCTTAATAACAGAGGCTTAGCTATTTCTATGCAAAAAGGCAATATTCGAGTTTTAAGTGTTAGAAGCCTGTGCATTTTCAGTTATCATTTTTTCCGGTCTTCAACATACCTCTTTTATATGCTTCTCTAGCACCTCATCATAGAGTTCATGGGGAGATGTGGTCAATTGTTTGGCTTCCTCAAGGGCACCGAGAACCATGGCTTGAACGTCTGGATGATCCTCTGTCACTGAGAGGGGAACAAAACATTGGATAATGAACACAAACTACCATTTAAGAAAAAATAATTAACCAAATATGGAAACAATATGGGAAAAAAGATAATCTCAGATCTCATCTCATAAATAAAAAATGTAGATATTATTTTAATGCATGACAGAATAATTAGTACTACTTCTCAATATTGTCAAGGTTAATTATAAATAAAAACATATTTGCTGTATATTATATGAATTAATGCAATAAAGTTATTATCTTAATAGACAGCAATGAAGGTCAACTTGCCCAATTTTAGTTCGTCATCTTGTTCCATCTTCATCTTGATTTTCTCTATTGCAGCCTGTGTTGTCTCTTTTTTTATTTTGTCAAGCTTTTCTTGATCAGCCTTTGCTACAGCTTGTTTACACAGCTCCTCCACATCAAGTACCACTGCATTGTAGTCCTCAGCGAGAATCTTACACATAGTGGTCTTTCCAGCATGAGGAAGTCCAATAATGGAAACTCTACAGGGGCGCCTTGGCATTGGAGGAAGCAAGTACCGTCTGGGGTTTGTGACAAATTTCTGGTAGGCCTCCTGGGATGAAAGGATGTAGAGTTTGTCCTGGAAGCTGTACAGTGGTTGAGATACGAGTTGGCTGACGTGTCAGTAAATCGTAAATGAACAAACAGGAAAATCTTCATCCTGATTAGTTGAAATAAGAGCACTCACCCCACAGAAAACTCAGGCCTGCCAGGAATGATCTCGCCCTCAATCAAAGCAACAGGACAGGTTCGACCCCAGCGGCTCCTTCTCCACCGATAGCCTGTGGCAGGTGACTGTTTTGATGCCATAATTCTCAGAAGGTCCTCCTAGAGAAATAACAAAACACCTTGTTAAGTTGACTATAGTTCAATGTTCTAGGCTATTTAATACGATTAAATGAAGATTCCATCACCATATGGAATAATTTCTTTGCCATTAAGCAGATCTTACAAGTTTGTAGCTCAGAATAGGCTGTTTTGAGTATTATCTAAACACATACATAAGCAAACATTACTTCAAAATTAAAAATGAGACTTGACCGTATTGATGCTCTCTGGTAATTCTTCGTCGTCACTATTGTGGAGAAGGACAGGAACAGCAACAGGCTTTATGGCCATGGATCCAAGACGGGACATCACTGACTACAGGCAAAAGTCACCGGCAGAACATATTTTGTTTACCAATCTCATAACCAATTCAACAATATTTTATAACAGACAACACAGACTGCATTGTCTGTCAATTCTAAACTTGCATATGCTGACCAAACTGGTTGCTTGACAGCAGAGTAGTGTTTATTGTTGCCATTTTTACCAAGTGCAGCTCTTCCGAAGTATTGTTTCCATTCAGCTCCAACAGGTAGAGTGGGTTGTGATCTGACATGTAGTCCTGAGAAAAAATAAAAAGTTTAACACTTCTATATTGTTTTAAAAAAAAAACCTAACTCACCAATGTGGGTATTTTAGCCAAAAAGTAAAGCAAATTCAAAAGCTTTATGTGTATCTTTAAGCAGTTCAGTAGAGAAGGCCGTGTCACTGACCTCCAGTGGTCTGAGTTGTGTATCCTTAAATACGTTGATTTTAACAAATGCATTTCTGGGAAGATTCTCTGGTATCCACACCATCTGGTCAATGATGGTCGTTGAAAGTTCCTCCTCCTCAGCCTACAATCAGAATGAACAAGTTGGTATCAAAGAAAATTGTGACTTGGAAATGTATCTGATTAAGTTTTCAAATAGTTAATATACTTAAAAACTAGAAAAACAAAAAGAAGGCTCAATAAAACAAAAAACATCTGTCTTTCATATTGAACATTCTAAAAGTTGTGAGCCTGGGGGCACTTACAGTTTCCTTCATTGATATATTTTTAAATCTCTTTCTTCTTTATTTGCCTACAAGTTAAATTAGTAGTTTTTCTCATAAGATCTACCTGTTCCTCCTCATCGTCCACTTCCTGATCTTTGTTCTTGTTCTTGTTGATGTAAACCTCTTCACGTTTCCATTGATCTTTCCTGTATAACTGCCCTGTAATTGGGTGCTGCTTCACACCCGACAGTCTTTCCACAAGGTCCTTGTCTGCACACTTAAGTCAGTACCGAAACAAGAAAAACACAACAAGAGCAATTTCTGAAAAACTACACAAATTCAAAACATAACCCAAACAGAATATCAAAGAAACCTTTATGTTGATGATGAAATCAGGGGCAAGCTTGAAGTTTCTGATAAGCTGAACCTGCTCCTGAATCTTCAGACACTCCTCGGATAGGAATGGCATACAGCTCAACACATATCCTGTACACAAGATATGAAACTGTGACAGGGCTCCCACTCTTTTCATTTTAATTGACCACATTCACAGTATTTTTACATATTTGTACATACTTTCCTGACACCTGACGACTTTTATCTGATACCTGGTGACTTTTTTTCTGATACCTGACAACTTTTTTGTTGTCAGAGCCTTATTTACCATAGTGCTCAACATCAGGTGAGTTAAGCCTGGAAAGAATCAGCTGGAGGATTAGATCTTCTGGAATACTTCTCCCCTCTGATAAGATCTCCAGGAGCTAATATTGTCAGACATTGGGATACGATGGTTGTAAAGAGTACAAGAAAATGCATGAAACAGTTATAATGATACTGAATATTTTACTCACCTTTAAGCCATCCTCAGTTTTATTAATCACATGTGTGTTGAGGAGGTCTGTATCTAAAATGTCACAAAAAGATCATTGAAGTAAAACAGTCTGATATTGTCGACATAAGTATGAAAATGAAAGAACCTACAATACACCCACCATCAATAAGGATACATTTCCAGGATTCAGCAACCATTCGGGCCAACGTGGATTTACCAACTCCCTGCCACAAAGTGGAATTTAAGTAACTAGCTCACTTGAAATAATAGCAATTTGGGATAAAAAAAAAATAGTTCATAGTTTATGAACATTTCCTTTGCTGAATTTAACTGCCATCCATTTTCTTGATGTTTGTATTTATGAAATGGAGCTTGAGTCATGTAATGTCATAAACAATATTAATAAAAGTACAAGAAACCTTCAGCAAGTTTCACTATCACACACAGTGTTAATGCAAAAAGACCGGCTGTACAGGTGAACGTAATTTACATTTAATTAATTAAGTAAAACAAATCTGTAGAAAATACCAATAAAATCCTCTCACATTCCAAACACTGGTCAAGAACTTTTTATTCAATATACTTACCGGCCTTCCAACTATGATGAAGCAGGTGGGTTTCGAACGAAGCCTTTGTATTTCAGCTTCATCCTCTATTAGATTGTCTACGAAATCCTCCATTTCATCTTATCGTACAGAAACGGTCATAATTAAAAGGAAATACAGAATGATACTGTCAGTTTTTTTTTTAACCAACTCTCACTTGTTACCTTCCAACCAGTACCGAAACGTTCCTGAAAAATCTTGAATTAATTGACGATAGGTTTGTCGTTGCTTTTGAAAAGTATCTTAGAGACTCTCTGCATGTATTTTGTTTAGTGACCAGAAATTACTTACAGGAATTTAGCTTTGAGTAATCCTGCTGTCGGAATATGGTTGCCATAACAACTTGCAAACGGAAAGGTACCGGACAGGATAAAATCCCTGTCTTTCATGGGTAGGGGCTGAGTAAGTGTAATTTTTGTCATGTGTTTATCATCTTTTGGATTTTCATATTTTTCTACAATGGTGGAATATTTGTGAAGACTGGAAAAGCAAGAATGAGAATATTCTCAGTGAAATACGAAACGCGAAGTGTTCGTTTTTCACGCTTTCGCTCTTTTTGACCCTGCGGGGAATCGTACCAGCTGATGAGTCGTTCATGACAGTCACCTGACTAAAACAAATTCGTGTTGGTTCCTGTATGCTAACCGAATGGAGTAGGATAGCCACTCAAAATAACGTTTGACTGAAAGGTTTAGGTAGTTATTTGGCCACTTGAAGACATGCAGATTGTTACGCCTATAGTATTTCTGTAGCTAGTACGGCTAGAAAGCTAAGTCATTGGTAAGTAACAATGAAGGCCAAAATAAAGCATGCATTAAAGAGTATTAATAATCTACATGTGTATGTTTGTCATTTTTATGATTTCTAGACCACACTGATATTTGTCTTGGAGTAGGAATAAAATGCATCAAACGGCGGCTATGATCAGTGGGATCCAGAGGATGGTTTTGTATGAAACCAGAGCAGTAAGTCTTACACAAATTGTTTCTTCGCGATCATGACTCTCAGCACTTCTAATCGAGGTGTCTATCATCGTGATAAAAGTGTCCTTAATTGACATAGTTTCTGAAATGTGCCAAAACTGATTTCTGCTGACAAAGATAATTATGTTTAAGGACAAGCCATTTAACAAAGAGTTGTTCCGCTAAAACCAGCTTGATCTTAAACTAACCATCTCTTGAAAGTTAGCCTGTTCACATTAAATAAATGGAACTAATGAGCGTGAGTGTGAAGAGCTGAAATGGTAAGCTATAGAAAAAGAGTTTTAAGTTCTTTCTTACACTAGATGGCAGCAAAATATTTTCGGTAATAAAGTTCTCAGTCATGCATCTGATCCATGGAGTCACATTAAGATGTTTGTTTCACCAAAATTAAGTTTTTAATATGTCCCATTTTTCCCCATTGTGATTTTGATTTAGTGATGAGATGTCATGTAAATATCAAGTAAAAGACTAGGTGTGTATGTTGTTTTCAAATGTCATCATCTCACACTTGTATTAATGTAGAGAAGAAGGTGTGATCAGAGTAACTGATGAAAAATGTACACAATGAGTGAAGGAAAGACATTTCCACGTTAAGTTGCAATATGTATCTGTCTGAGGATTTTGTTTAAAAGGAGACTCTCAGATGGTTTTGAGATTGTCTACAAAGAAGGCTCAGTAGGGAACTGGGAAGTGTGGAACAGGACAAAATGGTTGGAGACTGTACAGATACACAATGTTCCAGTTCAACCGTCTTTACCGGACTAAAAATCTTGGGGCCTTTTGTAAATTGAAAGGGAAAGATTGTGATTGAAATCTATTTTCCACAAAAATGATTTTTAACTATTAAATTTGTGTATTTGCTCAATATTAGAAGCCCCTATATAGCGCCTTGTTCCAGTGTGCTGATGCGCATATGACTTGTTTTAAAATGTTTTTCCAGAGGTATTTTTTGGTTGGAAGCAATCAGGCTCAGACCAAACATCGTGTTTTGAAGATTGACCGCACTGAACCCAAGGACTTGGTGATAATTGATGATAAGGTAAGCAGCTGGCTTCCACTGAACCCAGTACAGTGCCAGTGTTTGGCTTGGGTAATATAGTACAGTGTGCTTAAGGGAAAACTGTCTAATTACTTCGTCTGTCCCGAGTGGATTGCACCCTCCTTTCTCATTGTACGGATCATTACCCGGATCTATTGGCTGGTAGTTGATTTGTTTTGTTCACATTTCCAGTGATTATGACTATGATGTTTGCCATGATAGAGCAGTCACAGGTGACGATTAATCAACCCAATCTCTCAATCCTTCACACTGAATAGTACAATGACCTCAGAAAACTATTTCTTTTCAATTTGGGTTACTCTATCATTTTATAGTATTGTAAAATATAATATTTATATACTGTAGAGTATAACATAAAGGGTGATTAAATGCTTGACAAAAAAGCCTTTCATACATTATATATAATACAGACTGTTGCTTAAAGGAAAAGAAATGCTGTACAGTGGTAAGCTTGGTCCTGTAAATCATGGAGAAACCTAACAGAACAAAGCACAATAGAAGTCCGTTGTAAGTAACGTTGTAAATACCCCCTGATGTATCTGTATCTGTCTCTATAGCACGTATATAGCCAGCAGGAGGTGCGGGAGTTGCTGAGCCGTCTGGACCTCGGCAACCGCACAAAAATTGGCCAAAAGGGTTCCTCAGGCCTATCCAGAGCTGTCTCAGCTTTTGGCATTGTGGGTGAGTACAATCCCCTCACTTCTCTCCTCTGTGGCACAACGATAGCCACTGCAGTACTTAATGATGCCACATGTAGCCCTCATGTGGGCTGACCTGTTTTTTTCTTTTTAAGTGCTGGTCATTCCAAAAGCATGAAAGAAAAAGAACACCTGGCAGCATAATGCAGTTTATTTCAGCATAATGACAAAAGGCAAACATAGATTTCCTAACATTGGGTCACCACATGCTGCATGTGCACTTGAGCAATGATGCCACATGTGTGTTTTATGTGTGTGTGTGTGTGTGTATGTTTGTTGTAGAAGAGTGTTGATTCACGGTCTGATCAAATATTAAAAATTTGAATAGATTTACACAGTTAAATTCAGATTTGTGTTAGTCTAAGATTTAAGAAAATGAGTGGGTCCATAAACAATTTTAGGCACTGCCATTCTGGAGTAAGCATTGTGTTTGTGTTTGCACATTTTTAATAAACTATGCTATTTAGGCAAGCTGCTACATTTAGCTCAAGCTTTTAGCATTTAGCTGATATACTGAGTTTGGTAGTGTGATTTCTAACCTATATTGATGTTGGAGACTACTACATTAAGCAACAGAGGGATTTCTGTGAATGGTGAGATATTACATGTCACTTTTGTGCTTCACTCATTTTGGACAAAGGCTGATTTGTCTGTTCCTGTGTTGTGCACATTGACCGACAGACCTAATTACAGCTCTCTACAAACTTTAGGTTTTTCTTTTATATCCTCTCTTTGTATTGATCAAATTAATTGAAGTCACACCCCTTTGCTCGAGTGAGTATTTTTCTGTTTGCCTGCCCTAAATCTGAAAGACATGCTTAGTTTCATGAGCAATTTGAGATGTTTTTTTGTTGTTTTATTGGTTTTCTCGGAAATTCTGCATTTGACAGAGCGATGGTGTGCAAACGTACAGTAAATAATCAGAGTTTTTGTCATCTAAATGGGAAGTTGGCCGCCACATCAAAATGTTCTTGGAAAGGACATTGAAACCCACTACTCCTAATTTTCTCATATTTCTGTGGTGTAGCTTAAAACGATTCACATGGAGGAAATGGGGTTAATCTAAAGAAAACAACAACCTCAAAATGAAAATAAACTGTGAAATAGTCATCATATGTTATCACTAAAACGTCATACTTATCATGAGAGGCTCTTTAAGACATTAATGAAACAATGCTAACAATGTTTGTAATAGTATTATAATAAGGTTATAAGGTAATAAGGTTATAAAATATGCTCATGCAAGGAAACATTGCAAACAGTTGTTGTAGCTGTATTTCACTGAGTAACACTGATGAATATCAACAGATATGTCAACTGACACAAAATCATTAAAAACATTCCCACGCACCTAAACAAAAATACAAAACAATGCATTGTATTATGATTTTCTGATCTTCCCACTCCAGCCTGTGTACTTGTATAGCTGAAGAAATGTGTACATACCCTTTAATGATAACCAATAAGAAGCTTATTTACTGTATGACAGTTGGACAAGATACTCTAAAATCCATTGTATTGCTGTACATGTTTCTCTGTGTGTGTGTTCGTGTGTATACATGTGCATTGCATTATTTTAAGATTCATTCCAGCAAAATATTTAAACTACAGATTATCTAGTCACACTCATTGACAGATTGTGACCCAAGATAAAACAAATGCCTTTGTTCATATTGTTGAAATGCTAAAGATGCAGCCATGTTGAGTACGGTGTCACCTCAGAGGCCCTTTGCCTGCCACCTTTCCTGTTACAGTGTGTAATGAGTGCTATTATTGTAAGCATATTTTTATTCACTTTCATTTGCGAGTTTTGTCAGTCTGACCTGTCTCTTACAGTAAGAAAGAGAGCCAGTAGGAATGTTCGACCTGTAACGCCACAAATGAAAGAATATTTAGTAAGATGTGGAAGTGTAATTTTCTCTCACACAGAGGCTGGCATGTTATTAATGAAACCTCATGTTGATTTAAATTATTTTTACATAAGCTCATGTTTGCACCACAAATCACATATCCCACTCCACTGTATTGCTAAATGGTCGGTAAAAGGAAGACAGGCATATTTACACAAGGGTCAATGTACTATCAATTATGATGGTGGGTTTTGGGGTAGAGTGACTAACCCCTTTGTGCTGGATTTGCTGATTTAATATTTTAAAAATATATAGACATATATCCTGTCAGTGATGAGAAAATAGGTCATCCAGACCTGAAAACAAATCATTAGCTGTCACCATGTTGCATGATATTGTCTGGATTCTGATCTGAATTATGTAAGGACAGATGGTTTTTAATACAAGGATGATGTTCCAAAATGTGACTCATAGATACTCTTAATCAACCTGTTTAACAGTTTTGTAATACCAAAGCATCAGGGAAGCTGATTTCAAAGATTTAGAATGTGATTTTTTTTCCTCAACCACACCTGTGTCACATCAGGGTCGGCCCTGGCTCCTGGGTAAGAGCCTGTTGCTTGCAATGCTGTCGCACAAAGGGCATTAATTTTCCTGCTTGTGCTGAACTCAAGCCCGGATAAGGATGTTTGTTTGTGGCATTTTTTGCATGTTACATTTGAGGAAAAAAATGGCATAATATGTTTGGTCTCACCACAACAGGTTTTGTTCGTTTTCTCGAGGGGTACTATATTGTGCTGATCACCAAGCGCAGAAAGATGGCTGATATCGGTGGCCAATCCATTTACAAAATTGAAGACACCACCATGATCTACATTCCAAACGACTCAGTCAGAGTTAGTCATCCTGATGAAGCAAGGTATTCTTTTCTTTTGCCTCCCTTTTGCCATGTAGATTTTTAAACCAATACTATCTTTAGTAAAGTACAAGTGCAGAACCTTTTAACAGTATCAAAGAGGAAAGATATTCTTCTCATATTGAACTTTATATATGTAGTGTTACTGTGTTGGATGTTGACAATTGGCCCAAAGTCAGAAATAAAGTTGTTCAAACATGTGGTCAAAGTATTTTGTGATATCATAAAGCTCAGATGTTCCTTTAAGAAAAGTAGATCTTCTGAGTATTGTCCTGTTTACATCTTTAAATTCAATCTTTGCTGACGATATTACAGATATGTGCGAATCTTCCAGAATGTTGACCTTTCCAGCAACTTCTACTTCAGGTAAGGCTTTCATGCATTCAAAATGTATCAATACTTTCTAAATCAAATTCAGGGTGATCATGGGGCCGGAGCCCCTCCCAAGTGCAATTGGGTAAAGTGCAAGGTCATACCTCATATGTATCTGTGACGATTCTCAGTCATCCAGGTCATACCTCATATGGGTCAGCCGTCCACTGCAGGGCCACAGAGTGATGCACACACTCACTCAATTTAGAATGTCAATAACATGCAGGCAAAAAATAAAACAGGAATGTCCTTGCTGTGACACAGGTGTTCAGTAGACGATAGTTTAAATGGGCTTTAAATAAAAAAATATATATCTTTCAGAAAACCTGTTAGATTGAATAATTTTGTTGAAAATATTGCTGATTTCTTCTTTTGTAAAACATAAAGAGGCGAATACATATTTTCCTTTATGGAGATAACAAACATATGGGTCTAATTTTGCACGTTTACTCTAGAAAAAAAATAACAAATGCAGCTCTGCCTGTTTTGATTCTCATTGTAATTGCAGAGATAAGAATGTGCCTTTCTATTTTTGCAACAGTGGCAGATTGAAAGTGCATTATGGGGCAGTACAGCCTGTTCTTCTCTCATGTGACATTGCTGTTCTGCCCTGCAGCTACAGCTACGACCTGAGCCACTCTCTCCAGTACAACCTGACATTGCTCCAGAGACCTTACGACCTGTGGTCGTCGGCAGCTTCCTCAACTGAGGAGCGAGTACAGGGCAAGAGCAAGCAGGACAGTTTTGACATCTTTGAAGATGAGGGTTTGCCTACGCAAGGTAAGCAGAGGTTAATCAATGCAAGTTTTTGTTTAGTTTATCTTCTTACCTCTTGCCTAGAGAGTATATTGTGTGCAAGAATGCAAAAGCATTGCGCTCCACTTTAAGGTGGGAGGTTTTTGAAGTTAGGCCATGAGGACTTCTATAATGAACTAGACAAGCAAAAGGGAGCTAGAACCAGAGTGAGCTAGAGCTGGAGAGTCAAATGGATGGATGTGAACCTGCAGGAAAAAGAAATAGAAGCATTTTGAAATCCAGTAAACCTGCAACATTGCCTGCAAATCAAGAGGAGTCACAGTAAAAAGTTTGGATGTTGAGGAAAAAACATTTTTCAATTACTTCAACCTTACATATCAATCACACAAGGTCATATATTGAGAATATTTAGTCATTTTCCATATTTTGTCCCATAACAAATTTAGTTTTCTTTCTTGGTTCTGATGGACTTTTAGACTAATCGCAGTTAGGTTAAACAGTGTTTTATTGATGTTTTTTTCCCACCACAGTGGTTTATGGCCTCCAGAACGAGCCGTACTATAAGTATGTATGGAACGGGAAGCTCCTGGAGCGAATCAAGGACATTGTGCATCCCGACTGGCTCATGTATATAATCCATGGCTTTTGTGGCCAGTCCAGTATCCTTCAAATATTGCCCGGTCACTTCATTCTTTTTAATGGAGTGTGTGACTATTGTTTTTATTTATGTGAAATTTCTTTTTCTTGTTTTTTGGCAGGCAATTCAAGTAAAATTCAATGTTAAGATAAAAAACACACATACTACAAAGACCTTGTGGAGACTGTGTTTGGACATGGACATTGGACATGACATTTGCACGTACCAACTGGTACTCAGTACTTTATCTAACTTTATTTTCCCTTTTTTATGACACTACTCATGGCTCAGCATCACTTGTTGAGATGCACTTAGCCTCCACGAGCACACGTGAAAAGCACTGTTCTATACCAGAGTCTATGAGTCACCACAGAACTGCAAGGGTTTAGGGGTTTAGCATGACAAGTATAGTGGCATTAGCAATGCTTATAAGATACGCACAGTAAAATTGCCACGTGTTGCTGTATCTGCTGCAATATTCAAACAGATTAGCTGGTTTGTCTAGACTTTTGAAAAGCCTCTAGTATATTAATATATGATTCAGTGCTGCTGAGAAGAAACAGCCTGATATATGAGAATTATTGTCTGCCTTAGGCTGAGGCTGTAGTTTACAGTCATTTACAATAATGTCTGCCTTGCACAAATCGCATTAAAATGTGTAAAATGCTTTGCCCTACTGTCGCTTTGTTTTAGACCAATAATTAATTATATGCTAGTTATATCGTAGTATGGAAATTCTTCTCAATGCTGTTTTCTCTCTTCTCAGGAAACTACCAATTTAAATCAGTTTTAAAAAAAATGCAGAGAACAACTATTGGCTACAAGAAGATTTTGAGTCCTACTAATGCACTTATTGTAAGGCACTGTCTCTCACTGCCTGGCTTGTTTCCTCTTTTTTTCTGGATGGTCCAGCCACATGCGTGCAAACACACATGCATCTATTGGAGTGGCCATTCAACCACTGAATAACACACATTTTTCAATAACAAAAACAATTTTTAGCCCTCTTCCTGTAGATAGAATCTTTTTTTCCTTAAAACTTCATTTCATTTGGTTTTGGCAGCCTTTTTGTCACAAGCTATCTTGTTATTTTCCTGTTGCTGTGAGAAGATAAATCCCCATTTTATTGTCATTATTTTATTATTCCTCCTTTACCCATCAACTGCAGAGCTGCTTATCTACGGTCGACCGGTACACATCACCCTCATTGCAAGACGCTCCAGTAAATTTGCTGGAACCCGCTTCCTGAAAAGAGGTGCCAACTGTGAGGTACAGCAGTTTCTAAGGCAACAGGGATGATAAATAGTGGAGGCAGGACAGAGGGCCACCAGGCTGATTGAGATGACTCAAGTTATCACAGACGGTTAATTTAATCTGCTGCCTTTTCCTTCAGTATTTATGAGTGTCTGTGTAGGTGTTGTGGTGGGAAGGATGAACTTTAGGTGCAAATGTTTTTTTGTGTTTATGTGTCCACATGGGTGTGTAGTTGTGTTAAAACTCTTCTACTGATAAAGTATTGCACCACATTATTAGGATTTTTACCATGATGCGCTGATAAATTTCCTATTCTTTGCGAGTCAGAATGTGTAATGAACTGTCACATTGTTCATATTAAACAATATGCTTTTTAAAAATGTTCTTCCTTTTCAGGGGGATGTGGCTAATGAGGTAGAGACTGAACAGATAGTCCATGATGCCTCAGTTATGTCTTTCACCGCAGGAAGCTACTCCTCATATGTCCAGGTCAGAGGTTCAGTCCCTCTGTACTGGTCCCAGGACATCTCCACCATGATGCCTAAACCCCCAATAAGACGTAAGACTTCTTCTCTTGATTTCTCTTCATGGTTGTGTATGAGCAATCTTTTGGTCCGTGTGATGGGAGAAAGAACTTTTCTTTACATATTTGTAATTAATTAAAAAAGGTACAGAGTTGACAAAGTGACCCTGTTCTTTTCCACCATGACGACAGAAGTAAGAAGAAAAAATAGAGCAAAAAACTAATAGGTGAGGGCAGGATAACCCCATCTTGGTTTTCATCTCTGCATTTGCTCTTTAGTCTTATTAAGACCAGGATAAAAACACAAAACCAGCGGCTCTCAGACATGATCAGCTCCCTGAGACTGATGACACAAGAGACTACTGTGCTTGGTTTTGTGTGTCTGCCCTGAAATCCACTGGTGTCCGCTTGTTTACAATAACTGTATGAAAACATAATCTTTGTTCCTGCTGATTTGCCATTTCGACTATTCCCAGATGACATTTTCAGTTATGAGATAGACACTCCGTGTGTCCCTAAGATCCCTCTGTGTATTACTGACTGCATTGTTCTGCTCCCACCTTGATACTTAAAAAACAGTCCTTGCTTGACATTTGAGAAATATTGCCAGAATCTTGAATCATTAGTTTGTTTTATACATTTGTATTCTTTGTATGTGTTGTTTGTCTCAGAAGGCCTTTGATGTTTAAATACATCCACAGAAAATGATACACCAATTATAATAGATTCTTGTTTAGTCGTTCATGTATGGACCCGATTGTTATGTTTCCAACAGGGATTTTGAACTCATGTGTGCGCATGCCAACATACAAACATCCCACAAAAAGACACCAGTTGCAGTTTTAAGCAGAAACCCCTCTCAGACAGAGGCAACCACATTGATAGTCTTTTTTTAAAATAATAAAGTTAGTCCTACCTCGTAGTGGAAATAGAAGTATGTAAACTGAATTGAATGCATTGAACAGTGAGGAAAGAGCAGGAGACTCAGTGTGTTCTTTGACCTGACACTTCAACACTCAACAAGTTGGATGTTTAAAAATGAAAGAAATACCTTCCCTAACAGCACCACCTGATAGAAGCTTTTTCATCTGAAAGACCTTTCTTCTTGCATGTAGTTTAAAACTTGCTACGGTTGCATACGTGTATTCATTTTTTTCATTTAATGTTGCATTCAGGGCTCTCGGGGGATTCCATCTCTTTTCTCATAACTGAATTTTTTTCTGTACATCCGTGAGCAAACTAAATGCTCATGTAATGGTATTGTGTGATTTGTAAAGATCTGATGTTCACCATCTATTTTTCTATCACAGAATGCACACATTTCAGCATTTGTTGGCTTTGGTACTCTATACAGAATTACAAACGTTAAGAAAAAATATGCAAAATACCATCAACATTTTGCATTCTCCTGAACATGTAAAAAAAATCTCTTTCTTTTTCATCCTACAGTAGACCAAGCAGACCCATATGCCCATGTTGCTGCCCTCCATTTTGACCAGATGCTACAGCGGTTTGGCTCACCTATCATCATCCTCAATTTAGTTAAGGTAAATTAGATTTTGAGAAACTCGTATAAGTTTGACTGATTTGTCTTTTCTGGAAAGTCAAGGAAAAAAGATTAAATCTTCATTGGATTAAAAAACACTTTGATATCATGGATAGTCAAAGTGATGATGGATAAAGCCAACCTTTGATGGAGAAAACTTTTGAATGCAGATGTACAGTCTCTAAAAACATGCCCTGTCATATTCACATGCACTGTACAACATCCACTTTAGATCGACACCAAGGGGATATAATTTAGTTTTGGTAGTCTGCAAGAATTACATTGCAGTAGGTCACTGCTAAAAGTGATTATGCTTTTTCTTATATTGCCCATTTCTTTTTGTCTTTTTTTTGGCCAACTTTTTAAACAGGTGAGGTGACCAGGTACACAGGGTTTCTCCTGTCAGTCATTCAAATATGAAACAATAGTTGAGTCTTTGGAGATAAACATGAAAAAGGGCTAAGTATCACAAAAGTATGAAGCTAACCAATGCTCTGACACTGTCTACTTCAAAATAAAGTGTAAAAGATATCAATATGCATTTTGTAACCTCCCTCTTTCCATCCTGGTGTACACCTTGTAATATGGCTTTCTGGTTGGCACACAGCCATAATTTGTGGCTTGGATTTCAAGCTCACGTTGTTACTCACAAGGGGAGCTGAGAGATGGGGGACCAATCACAGGACTTGTAGGTCCACACAAGCCACAGCCATGTGAAATTCACAGACCTTGGGGAATAAGGGAGGGAACCTCTACCCATTCACAGAGCAGCTTCATGATTATCCCACAGAAATTGGAATTGGAAATTAGCCATAGAACATTGAAAATCCACCTCTCCCATGTGGGATCAGTGGGTGCCCCGTCAAGCCTGGAATACAAGATATTATTACTGGTGTCTGGTGGTTTTATTACTTGTGTCCCAGTGTGCAAGAGAGGAGGAGCATGAAGCACACGTGGTCAAGCATGTGAACTAGTTTTAAACCTGTTCATTTAAATGCAGTCCATTTGTGTAAATACGGGATGTTTCTGCATCCATGTGCACGGGGACCTGAATCATGTTTCTGTCACTGCACGTTCATCCACCGGTTATTATGACTCCCTCTGCGGTGTTTTCTGATTTCTTCCTGTGAGCATCACATCTGTGCTTTTGTGAGTCTATGCGTGTGATGTGTCCTTGTAGTATGTCATCTGTCCTTAGAAGGTGTGATCAAGTATCTGCATGTGCCAGACAGTATGAAACACTCCACAGAGTGGTTGAGGAAATGTGCTGGTAATTTGACTGGTTGCTGTGTTGCTTCACCACTGGTGGATGTGCGAATGTGCGAAGTGAGCTGCTTAATGATGCATCCGTGCCCATCATCAGCCAGGTGGGATCGGACCTAAAGGCACAATGGAGGAGTGCACAGATAACTTAATGGACACTATGACTGCAGGTCAGACGGTTTTAAGTGAGTGCATGCGTCTTTGTCAACAAAATAAATAATTGTCAGTTTTGCCCACTCAGTAGCACAAATATAGTTTCAAGCACCTCAGTTTATTTTCAAAATTTGCTCTCAGTTTAGTAAATGCATACCCACCCAACACGAAAACACTTCCTTATGGTGTATTTCAGACTCACAGCATTTTTTACCTATTAATAGCTGTTTCTTCAGGAAGAAAAAAAACAAGAAACCTTGCATTACATATCATTGTCCCTACACATAAAGGCCTTACGCCTTCTTTAATCTGTTGTTCTCTATCTCAGTGGGTAATAGAGTTGTGATGATCTCTATATTCCTCTATCTACCATTTCCCCAACAAGCCAGGCGTTGTCGATTCTTCCATTAACTGTTGTGAAAAGAAATAATCTAGACTGCATCATCAGAGAAAGCTTTAAAGGCTTCAATAAAACTGTAATAAGTGGAGAGGCTGGACATCCACTTTTTGGTTTTTAGATGTTTTTTTAGATACAGAAGGTTTTTACCTTAGGACATGTTGTTGGAGCCCTGATATTCTGTGAATATTCACCTGTTTCCACTTGGCTGAAGTTGTTATGTAGGTTCCACGTTAAGATGTTCAGATTTATAGGGCCATGGCACAGTTTGACAGCAGGTGCATCGGCAGCAGATTACTTCAAAGAAAGCATCCTGTGTCTGCAGCATGTGTCCTCGGTTTTGTGCTTGCTGTAGCTCATGTCTGCTTGAAGCCTCAACGGTGATTCCTGCAGCTTTGTCATTTTCTGAGGTCACTGCTTTGAGGACATGAATTATTCTTGGTAAATGGAAAAAAAAAGGAGAAATGGTCTGTCACACATCTGGCTGTTTCTGCTCAAATCAACATGAAAACCTTTAAAACAAGCTGCAATCTATTGCGACTGTGTATTAAGGCCATTTAAGTATTAAGCTTTGACTACTGCATTTCTCTTTTGATTTACAGAAACGTGAAAAAAGGAAACATGAGAAGATTCTGAGTGAAGAGCTATACCCAGCTGTGATCAACCTCAATCAGTTCCTTCCTCCAGAACACTGCATTGACTACATTGCTTGGGACATGGCGCGTTACACCAAAAGGTTTTGATATATTTTGTAATATTATGATCCTAACGTTTTGTGGAGATACACAAAAAATGATGGTTAGAATTATTTAGAACAATGTTCTGCAGTTTGTAGTTAGTGAACAGGAGCAGCTGGAGACTGACTGAAACTAGTCCTGGATCTCCGTATAGATTTAAATCAAAGTTCAGTTGGTGTCACAAATACTTCCTTTATGTGTTAAACATGCATCAATTAAAGCTATATTTTCTAAACCAACAGCAGAACCACCAATTTTTTTATAACACCAATGTGATACTCCCTGTCCTTTTTCTTTATCAGCAAGTTGTGCAATGTGCTGGACCGCTTGAGTATGATAGCAGAAAACGTGGTCAAGCGAACAGGTTTCTTCATCAATCGCTCTGACTTCTACTGTCACACCCTCAGACCAGATGACAGGTGAGCCTTATACTCCAACGTGCTTGTTGTGCAGTTGCTTATAACTCCTCAGCTGTGTGCACATGGAAACACGCAGATTTCATGCTCTCATTTGAAAAAAGCTTAAAAACCAATTCAGAATGTTTGAAGAAGCAGTTCTCAGACTGGGTATGAATTTGAAAATATAAAATGAGCACTTGATTAAAAGAATGTGCACAACAAAAAGAAACCAACATTACCACAGTCCATCTTGCGTAATATCTGAATGTAAGTTGTTTCTGATTGAGTGCCTTGTCCATTCTTCCATGTTCAGAATCATACGTCAATTACTCAATTTTAAAACTCTAGATATTAATTCTTAATGAAAATTAAGCCTGTTGGCAGTTTTCTGCTAACAAACTGACCGTGAGCGTGGAGTCTGGTGCCTCTATTGTCTGCTTAATTTAATCACTTTTAGCTGTTATTACAGTTATGTTACATAACCCAAGGACTGTGGCACAGTCAGTATTTATTACCCTTTCTTTTGTATTACATAACATATCAGTCTTTTATGTCCGTCAGAGCCAATGTAGACGGAAACACAGCTCAGTCATTTGTGAAAATGATTGAAGTCTCTTCATCACGTGTGGCCTTTGTCTCATTTAAAAATTCTTCACGTGTGAGAAGATTATTTAATTTTTTGGTCTTTGACACTATGCTCTCATCAATGAATGTGCTGTTAGATTTGAAACTGTTTGCCCATCCATCTTCTAATGACACCATCAGGTTGATGCAATCACAAAAATTCACCATTTTGAATGAAAACTTGAAAACCTTCTATTGTTTTTTAGCAGCTGTTGAACTCTTTCTCTTTTCCTTGAAAATGTTGATTACAATACACTGAACTGAGGACAACTTAAAGCCAGAAGAAGTTCACATGCACAAAATCCGATTTTTCTAGGGCATGACATTTTAAATGTTACAGATCACTTTCATCAATGATATGATTTAAAGAACTATTCCCCTCAACAGTTACAAGAAGAATAAATATATGACTTGACTGGAGAAGTTGTAACCAAAGGTTTTTGGGGAATTTCCTCTGAATGCTTAACATTCGGCTGTAGCCTATAGACATAAAGATAAGCACTGTGTAAAAGCTAAAATTAGGAGATAAAGAGTTTAACTGACTCTAAAAAAGTCAAACACAAAAAAAGAGAGAATTTTGCACAAAATTTCCTTGATCAATCACATGATGTTAAATGTGGTAAATGTTGTTTTATTATTAGAACTATTACAAGCTCAACAAAAGCTTCAACTTTTATCTTCTGTTTTTTAGACAGTTATTAGCTGCCGTAATTCCCCGCGTGTATAAATGTGTGTATGCAGAAGACAGCAAATAATTTCAAAATGTTTGTCGAGGGAAGTTGATGTTGAACAGGATCTATAGTTATGATTACGTCTTTGCCAAATATATTTTAAAACCTTTTAACTCATTTTTCTTCTTCATTACTTTTCTTTGTTTTCTCTTGCAGGTGGGGAGATGTCGGTGGATACAATACGTCTAGTGGAAGACTGCAGGTACGTGGCACGGTGATCAGGTTTGATAAACAGTCATGACTTGTATTTAGGAAGTTTAAAACAGCAGGTTAAAAGGTTAAAAAAAATCTGACTTAATGTTATGGTATTGATAACCCAGTAAATATACTTAGTTTAAAGACATTCTTCAGCCATGTTTAGTTAGTTATGTTAGTTACATACATACATACATACATACATACATACATACATACATACATACATACATACATACATACATACATA